GAATTTTCCGAAGACACCAATGGCAGAAGAATAGAAGAAGGAAATATGTGACTTTATACTATGTATTGATATAATGCAGAGATATTCTTCCACTAAACACTTAGCAGCTTCTAAATTGTTAAGAAATGCTTCGCTAGTTTTAGGAACATTCTACAGAAGAAATAGTACTGACCGCTGAAGCATATCCAATCATTGACAAAGGAAAGCTTGAAACTGAACTAAAAGTATTCTATTGTAGGTCTGATATCCATGAATACTATAAATTAAATGAGCTACTGAAATTTATCTTCGAAATCATCTATATGATGTTCTTAGTGGAATCACGAAACCGATAAAAATTCTCTTGAGAGTTCCCATGACTACATCAGAGCCAGAACTGTGCTTTTCAACATTGAAAAGAATGAAAACTGTTCTAAAAAGCACTAGAATTCGAAAAGACTAAATGCGCTTGCATTGCTTTCAATAAAGAAAAATTTCCTCAGTTGTCATCCAGAGATCAAGGAGAAAATTATTGATTGTTTCGGGCAAAGTAAAACAAGAAGAATGGATTTCATTTTTAAATGAATAGACAAAGAGTGAACTGTAAAAATTTTGGTTACAGTAATTAAGAAATGCTTAATTTTTTTATTGTAATACTTCCTGATGTTTCAAAATAAATTTTCTTTTTATACATGTTTGTTTCCTTTCAGACAATTTTAAAACAAAGGTTAAATTTTTTTGGAACAGCACCCCCACTAATTTTAGCCACGAGCCGCCACTGGATACCAGATTCTCGTTTTTCAAAAATGTCCCGTCCTAGCAGGGAGTGTCGCCATATGTGATAGATAACCTATTTACTCTCTCAGAGAGACGTTGAAATGTCAGATCTGACAAACTTCCTAAGAGGCATGATAGTTGCAGCGTGCCTTGGTTAAAGAAACAGCAAAATATTTTGTGTATGCAAGGAGCAAGGTATCAGCGTTACAAAGCGTGCATGAAAGATGGCATCATGAAGACACGACAGAGACAAAAGACAAAGCTGATTGATAAAGGATAGAAAAATACTGAAGCGCATTTAATGGTTCGAAAGCACAAGTGCTAAACACGCTATTTCACATATGCTCCAAAACGAAAACTCATATCTAAGACCCCTTTTCAGACAAAACTGTCAAAAGGGAAATCCATGCTTCGTACACCTTGCACAAAAAAAAGGGGTGGAGTTTTATATCTCCTGTTCTACTGAGCGGATTGATGTAACTTAACTTGAATTTTTAGCATATATATTAGATTTATAAATAGCAATATTCTAACATAGGCATTCTTACACAAAATTGAACTTTTTCTGAAATGATATACCGATTTTTTTCCATGTTTCGATTCTACGACTCAAATTATACCAAAGTGCCCAGTTTTGTAAAAATCGCAGGAGTAGTTTATAAAAATTTACCTCTCAAAATTTTAGCTGCTCAATATTAATTGAATTTGGTATATATTTAATAATATCTGCTTTTTATTAAACTTACTTGATTCCTTTTTCCCAGTTCGAAATTCAAATTAAATTCAAATAAAATTCGCAACTATTTTCAGTTTTCTTTTTTAAATTTATAGTTTCTAGTAATTTTAATAAATTTTCCAAAAAAATTTTTGAACTATATCAAATTTTTAACATTATTTTAAAGTAGATGTATTTCTAGGAATACCTGCAAGAGTTTTTATTCGAAATTTCCAAAGACATTCGTGAATTTATATATTGGCGCGTTTCGAAATGTGACATATTTGTTATACGCGGTAATAACGCCAAATGTTAAAATTATTTGTTGTTGTGACTTATCTCACTTGTCTGACAGTAACATCAGAACAAAGCCCACGAAATTCATCATGGCAAGGCGTAAAAGATTGCGACTGTCATTGGCAAGAGTCTTGAGTACCATACAGGCGACATAACGACTTTGCTCAGTTCCACTCCCAATTTTGATGAAGAGCACCCCGGAGGGACGGATCCGAGGATCTCCCACCCCTCTTCTCCACTATCAGCCTCTCGACAGGACTCTCGTCTCGCTGCATATTTAGAGTGCCGCCATGCTCCACAGACACTATACAAACATCCATGCCTTCGGATTCGAACACGGGCTCTTCGGTATGGCAAAAGCATACAACATCAGCATCGCTAACCGCTATCCAGCTTGGGTGGCATGCGCGCAAATGTGGTATATGTATACGTATGTTTGCAAGTGTGGTATATGTATGTTTGCAAATGTGGTATATGTATACATACTATATACCACATTTGCAAAAAAGCTTCTTAATTCAAAATATTTTAAAGAAACACAAAATATATTAACAGAAAAAGTAAATCCACGAAATGAAAAGGTAAGAGCAAAAATCTCGTATGATCTGAACTAAAGATTCTCATACAAATCCTAAATAATTAATGGACTGAATTTAAATTTCAAAAGCTTTATTTAAAGGAGTATGAATAATGCACCTTATTTGAAAGTATGAACGACGCACGTTCTTTTTTTCGCTCGTGCACAAAGAAAAAAGGGAAAGGAGAATAGGTTTCTATAAATTAAGAATTTCGCTAAGTGAATTACTCTTGGCGTAAAGTGAAAAAAAGTGAGCCAAGTTAAAAAAGAAAAAGTTTTGAAATTTCTCTGTAAGTTTCTCTCCAAATTTCATAAAATTTAATATTTAGGCACCGTTTGAGTAGCAGAATCGAAATGTGGAAAAACTCGGCATGTCATTTGAGAAAAAGTCCGATTTTGTGCCAAAATACCTAAATTAGAACAATGTTATATAAAAAATCTATTATACATTCCTAATTCGCGCTTTCAGGACATAAAAAAAAGCAAGTTAAATTTCGTCAATCTGCCCTTCACTATTGTTTACATTTCGTCATTTCTCTTCTCCAACAACGATTGTTGACCACTTACAGATATCTATTTATTATTATTATTATTGATAAATTCAGTTCGTAAGTGTCATCCGACAGGATATTTGCTACTCAAATCACTATGCAGTGGTTTTGAAATGTCGGTCCAGGTTAAATTTTTTAGGTACTGCAGCACAAATTCCACATATCAAACAAATAGGCTCGGAAATATTTTCAAAACTTGTTCTTCCCAGACAAGTTTTAAAATCACGAATTGCAATGTCCTCCTCATAATTTCTTTTCGATGTCGAAGGTTTATTCATGGACATATAGAAAATAAAATTTTTAAAACAAAGACGCTCAACGCAAGATTTAAAAACAGTTGCAAAAAGCATAATGTCTTCATCGGCAGTTTAAAATCAACTGATCTAACGAAATAGCGAAGCGTTGCCAGTTTGTCTGAATTACAGAGCGTTTAAGCGGCGCACGCACGTTAATTGTAAGCGTCGTTCAAGAGTGTGAATATCCTTTTTTAATCCAAAGGGGCTTTCTTTGTCCCTTGAAGGACTATTGTTTCCGTTTTGCGATTTTGCGTTGAATCTCTATAAATGTCCGTTTTACTTTTCAAACTGTTGCCACCAAATGTTAGAGTTCTGCATTATATTTGAAGAAATTAAATAATGAAAAATCTGCATAAATGTATGTCTATTTCTCGCATTGTGATAAAACAACGATACCTAGAGACATCGAATTTTGAATGACGTAATCTTCCTACGAATATGGGCATGTGGAAGACCAAATTTCGAATTTGTTTTATTATCGATTTCATATTTTGTAAAACTTTAACGAATTTTTGATTAACAAACTCAAGGATTTCAAAACGAGCAATGGCAACACTCTACAGGAAAAAAAAAAAAAAAAAAAAAAAACTTTTTATCTCCAGCGTGCGGAACTGTGTATCGGAAATTCTAAAGATAGGCTCCTTTTAAAATTATTTTACGACATTGCTGTTGAACTAAATTTTATGATTTAAGTGCAAAGAATATATTTAATAAATAAAGGTAACACAGAAAACGTTAAAAAAGCGCTCTTTAAGATGTAATTTAAGATTTAAAACCTTTCAGATTTTTTTCTTTTTATTTTATTTATTTTTTTATTATTATTTGTTTAATTTCTGTTTTATATCATTAGAGTTTATTATGGTATTTGCGTGGATTATGTAGGAACAATTCGATAACTCAACATGTGATTTGCTATAGTGAAATAAACCAAAACTAAAATTCAGAGAGTTAAAATTATATTATTCTAATGTGTTTATGTGTCGGGTTTGGCGCAGACGATATTGTTATTTTCCCAAGATTTTTAATTTTTCAATGAGTCATCGCGTGCAAGTATTAAGAGTTAGCCTCTTATCGTGGTTGTATGGTATACAGAAAAAGATTCAATCATTTAGAGAAGATAGAAAAACCACAAGAAATTCCCACTAAAGATGACTTCCGAATTCATTCAAGCTTCAGGCCAAACTAATGAAGAAATGCCAAAAAACCTTTACAGTGACAAAGTTAAGCAGAAAAACCCGCAGGAAAATTTAGCAGAAATCATTAAAATTTTCAAAGATCATAAAACCCTTTATCTCATGAAATCAACAACCACAATAGCTCAGAGAATTAAATCAGCTAAATCAAATATGCAGTAACTTTGTCTAGCTTTTCAAGCCATCGAGATTATTTTGAACTTTGCAGATCAAGATTAATCCGCAGCTTCTCTCAAGACAAGCATAGCCGAGCGGCAGAAATCCTCACATCGTGGGGCCACGTTTACTTCTCTTCTACAGACTCTGCACTAGGTGCAAAAAGTACGTTCCATCTTACTGGATTCAAGTCATCATTAAAGACGCCTACTTATAATATATTGGTAAAGGCCGCACTAAACCGATTGCCTCTTAATTGTGTTACGACATAGACATAGAGTTAGCCATTCCTGGGCTAGACATTGGCCAGCCTATGTGGATGATTAATGCATGAAGTAAAGTAATGAACGCAAAATGATAAAGACTCGACTAGTTTGTAATATGAAAAATATAAAACGTTAAATATAAGATTGAGTTATTGACAGTACTCTAAAATTTAGTCAACTTTTTATTTTTCAGCAAAACTCAGATTGAAAAGCTGGATCCAAATTTCTTTGACAATATGCCGGAACTGAAACTTGTGGATTTAAATAATAACAGATTTTCAACTTTGGATGCACAGTTATTCATGCCTCTAAGGAATCGTATGTTGTACCTACGGGCTGACAGTAAGTATCATTACATAATACGACTTCAGTTTTATTGTTTTTTTGCCGACCACACAGAAAATTTTCTTGATGCTAAAGATATAAATTATATATTTTTAATAAAATGTGTTAAAATTGCATTCCGAGTCTAAAAAATTTGCACCTGGTTGGTTAATGCTGAAATTAAATCTTCAAAAGAATCCGCCATAGCTTCTTATCTAACTGGCCAAATATTTTTCGGTTATATATATTTTTATATATATTTTTCGGTTTGAAATTGAAATAAACTTAGCTGGGTTAGCCTGGTAGATAGGAGACTTGGTATCTTAATTTTAAGAGTTAGGTACCTTGTATAAAATATTTTATCAAAATATCACCTGTAACTTATATTATACAGCTTTAAAAGAATGGCCTTATTTATCCTTTTTTTCACAAAGGTACTAGTATATTATTACTAATATTTAAAAGCAAAATATTCTCCATCTTTATATGCACAAATCTTCTGGAATACTTAAGAAACGTCTTGTCATATGTTTCACATAGTATATGATTACACTTTTAAATTAATTAACTTTTAAATTACATTACTTTTTAAATTAATATAACACAGTACGTACTGCTGCTAAGAGCACACCTGCAATGTTTCAAAATAAACAACCCACTGCATATTGCACTGCGGCCCACCAGCGGCCGAGCGGTAACGTCGCTGAAAACTGGTAGTTCCGTCCGAGGTTCGAATCCCGCGAACGGGCTGGCTGCATGGGCGTTTTCGTGGTTTTTCCCCATGTGTAACGTGTATACGAGCCAGTTTTCCTTAGAAAGTCCTCCACGAAGGCATCCCTCCCCTTAGGCGAGATAGCCCTCAAGGCTTTGCCATAACCACGCATATTGCACTGCAAATATTACAAACTCTTTCAAAAGCTGCGCCAAAAATGTTTATAACCCAGCTTTGTCTTTTAAAAAATCATTTACAGTTTCTTTCTTTCTTTTTTTTTTTTTTTATTTTTTATTTTCAGTATTTTTACTGCTTTTAGGTTTACTCACCAGTAAATGCTTTCGGGTTATATATATGTAATTTACAAGTTTTAAAAAGTATATTTAATTTAAAAAATTGTCTAAGATTATTAAATTTTTAATATTATTATTCACATTCAGGCAGTCTAGCGATTCTCTGTGAACTCTCTTAAATTTATTGCTCACATTCTTATCTACGTAGCTATATTATTAACCAAAAAATAATAATAATGATTACTAAATAAATAAATAAAACAAATAAAAGAAAGAAATCTGTAATTGGGTACATGATGCATATAGTTAGAAATTTCTTTTAGTGATTACAATCATGCTTCATATACTTTAATTATATCATTTAAATGTATTACTAAAACAATAAGATATAAATTATTAACAATTTCGTTTATTACTTTTAATTCGTTTTGTTCTGTAGGGCAGTTACAGACTGACTGAATTCGAAAAAATAAACATCCTATGTTTTGTCCAATGGCAGAACTTTAATATCTGGTTAAACGCGATACTGCACGAGATATAAATTAAAGGACTTTGTATTCCAAGCAATGGCAACACTTGTCAGGGAAGGAAGTAATATATTAATGATAGCGTAATGTAATGTAACATAAAGGTTAAAAAATTTTGGAAGAATTCTACTAACGTTAATGGTTGTAAAGAATGTTCGATTTAGTCATAAAACTGTGACTTTGTTTTTTTTTTTCTGCTGCTTTCTTCCATTAAACCTTCAGGTTCGTTTAGATGAAGTAACCGTCAGTTTCAGTCCAATAAATTATCTCGTTGCGTCATATGTCAAACAACAAGGCTGAATGCGTAACCTTGTTATATTATCAGATTATCGATAATATGATGTCAACACATTCCATCATAGTTTTCGTAATGTTATCAGTAACGAAATCTACAATTTATACATTTACTCTTCCAGCATCTGCGTCGAGAGTGAAAATCTTAAAATTTTATCTTGAAGTTATCGTTATCTCAATTAATGAATCAGCGTCGTTCTTCCCGATAACATTAGTAATTATTCTTACATAGTCATTTTATATATTCTCCACTGAAAAAAAATTACAATCAGTTCTTGAAGTGTGCAGATGTGAATTGCATGGATTTAATTATTCATTAATTTTTTCCGCCAAATATACAGTGGAACCTCAAGTTACGAGTTTAAATCGTTCCAGCATTGAGCTCGTATAGCGAATTTCTCATATCTAGAAACAAACTTCCCCATTGAAAATAATGGAAATCCAGTTAATCCATTCCGCACCCTTACAAATATTATTACCATCTCATGTTCAGTCGATGTACCTGGTGTTTTTCGGAGAAGGTCCAATTAAGTCGATGTACCTGGTGTTTTTCGGAGAAGGTCCAATTAGGAAGAGGAAGGATTAAGGTCGGAGAAGGATTCTTAGTCTTATACTGCTAATGATTGCTTTCCACACCGAATCGCCTTTTAACTGCTTCTCGTTAATCTACACCAGTGGTTCTTAACCGAGGGTGCCCGCACCCCTGCGGGTGTGAGAATGTATTTTTGGGGGTGCGGGAGAAGCCCCTACCTAACTATAAAAATTATTAAATATCATTTATTAAATATCACTTATTAAATTTCTTATAATAAAATATTTGAAATCTGCAATAGTGTCCCCAATATTGAAGCTCATAAAAATTGGTAGCACCTAGCTCACTTATTGGCAAAAGACACAAGAAAGAGCCAGTGCCGATGGCCGTATACATTACGCTACGAAAAGGCATGAAACGCTACAAATGAACGCGAACAGGTAGCTAGGTGACGGAGAAAAGAAAAAAACTTTGTGGGAATACAAGCGGAGAACGTTAGCTTGCGCATGCGCTGAGTTCAATATGTGCTACTCCAATGGAATCTACGGATTCACAGATTTATATCTGCGTCTACTGTGCCTGTTTTAGGTTGAGGCAAGTTGAGTCAACTATTGCGTCTGCGACATATGTATTGTGTATTCTGACTTGTCCAGAAACCTCTTGAGACTAATACATTCTTAATTGCCCGTTCAAGACGAATAGAATTCAGTGATATTACACACGTAAGAACATTATATATATTATATTACATTATTTCTAAATAATTAAATCGATTATAGTGAACCCCAGTATGTCAAAAAAACGACAATGGAACGATAAGTATGCCGGTTATGGATTTAACTGCACACCGAAAAAGATGGCACGCAACGACCGCAATGCATCTTGTGTTCCAAGATATATTCAAACAGCAATCTCAAACCATCAAAGTTATTAGAGCATTTCAACAATCTGCATGGTGGCGAAAAAGCGCATGGTATGAACAGCTTTTGAAGTCAAAGAAGGCTCGGTTTGATACCAATGGAACTAATTCACAAGTCAAACAACAAAAATTAGCGTTAATTTTCAAAATTTTCACAGGACTAGTTTCGATGGTTTTACCGAACCACCATCCTCAGCTGCAAAACCGCAAATGAACAAGATAGGAAATAATGATTAGATAAGATAAGAAAGCCTGGACAAGAATAAGCAAGTGGCGCCATCTGTTGGTGAAACCAGAACTAAAACATAATTTCTTTAAAGGCCAAAGGCAAAGATGGATTGTAATTAGGATCGTTAACAAGAACAGAAAGATTTTTTTGAATGTGAAATGCCTCTAGAAAATCCATTTCTCCAATGGAAGATGTTTTTTGAATTAATTTTGGCAGCAGAAAAATTGAAAGTGTGATTTTCAGACCAACAATGTTGAGCAACAGAAGACTTCTGTGTTTCCTCTTTTCTAACATATGCCTCATGTTCCTTGACGCGAAATTTTAAGGCTCTCTTAGTTTAAAACAATTTAAATAAAACCACACTGGCAAGGAATCCTATAAATACCCCAAGAATTCATATCCGGAATGGGGTCCTTGAGTATGGAACTCGGAATTTTATTGATGGGAGAATAAAACGAAAGTTAAATTTCTGCAAAATATGTGCAACTTTATAGCTAATTGATGGAAAGAAGGGAATGACAACAGAATTTTTATAATCTTCTAAAACAAGAGTGTGCCTTTTAGTGTGTTGAGATGAGAATTTTTTAACTGCTTGATTAATAATGTTGGGTGAAAAGCCCCTGTCAATAGCTATTGCTTTTAAATAATTTAGTTCTTCATCAAGGGCTAGTTTGGAGGAGCAAAGTTGAAGAGCACGGAAAACATAAGAATAAAATGAAGCAAACTTTTGTTTAGTCGGATGATATGATTTAAAGTGTGGTGGAAGGCAAACCGATGAAGGCTTACGGTAAACCGTAGTACTGAAGTTGGATGTGTTACTTGTGACCAGAATGTCGAGAAACGGAAGAGAATTTCAAGTCTCAAGTTCAAAAGTGAACTGAATAGCAGGATCAATAGAATTCATTGTTGAAAGAACTTTATTTAAATCATCTTTATTACCTTCAAACAGGGTAAAAGTATCGTCTACGTAGCGGAACCATGCCGGGAAGTTTAAAGTTTCAAACAATTTTAATTCATAATAATGCATGTAGATATCAGCCAGGATGGGACTGAGGGGGCTTCCCATGGCTAATCCCTCAGTTTGCTTGTAATATTTATTTTGGAAAACAAAATGTGTTTGTTTCAAACAGAGTTGAGTAAGAGAAATTAGCTCATCAACTTCGATACAAGAGAAATGAAATTCGCGAAGTCTGGTTTCTAGACATCTTAATGCACCCTCCACTGGGACATTGGTGAATAATGATTTTCCATCAAAAGAAACCATGAGTAAATTTCTAGGAGAAATGTTTTTAACCTTTTTTACAAACTCTATTGAAGTTTTTATGGTGTAAATATTATTGTCTAATAGAGTTGAAAATCTAGAAACTAAATATTTAGCTAAGGGATACGAGGCAGTACCTAAATTTGATACAATAGGGCGAAAAGGAATACCACTTTTATGAATTTTGGGAAGAGCATATAATCTGGCACAATTCGCAACAAATGGGATAAGCGAATGATTTAAGTTGCTTG